AGAAAGTATGAATAAAAAATCGAATCGATGTTTATTTCTGTAGCAATCATTCAGTTTTCAATATATTGTAATCTTAGGTCATCAACAAGACTTATTACTTGCCCATCGGTCCAGTGTCTCCTGGTTCACCATACCCATCTTCTCCTCTATCGCCTTTTGTACCTCGTTCTCCTGATTCTCCTGGTGGTCCTTTGGGTCCTCTTTCTCCCGATTCTCCTGGTGTTCCGCGCTCTCCTTGGACTCCTAGGAACCAGAAAGAAAATATGAATAAAAAATCGAATCGGTGTTTATTTCTGTAGCAATCATTCAGTTTTCAATATATTGTAATCTTATGTCATCAACAAGACTTATTACTTACCCATCGGTCCAGGGTTTCCTGGTTCACCATACCCAACTTCTCCTCTATCACCTCTTAGACCTCTTTCTCCTGATTCTCCTTGGGGTCCTCTTTCTCCCGATTCTCCTGGTGTTCCTTGGGGTCCTCTTTCTCCCGATTCTCCTGGCGTTCCGCGCTCTCCTTGGACTCCTAAGAACCAGAAAGAAAATATGAATAAAAAATCGAATCGGTGTTTATTTCTGTAGCAATCATTCACTTTTCAATAAATTGTATTAAAGACTTATTTCTTCTGATTTGCCTACAGGTCAGGGACATCCATGGGACCAGAAAGAAAATATTATCAACAAGTTACTCGAATAGGTCTTTTTTTCTGTATCAATCATTCCAATATATTGTAATTTTATGCATCAACAAGATTTATTACTTACCCATCGGTCCAGGGTCTCCAGGTTCACCGTACCCATCTTCTCCTCCATCACCTTTTAGACCTCTTTCTCCTGATTCTCCTGGTGGGCCTTGTTGACCTCTTTCTCCTGTTTTTCCAGGTGGTCCGATATCTCCTGGTTTTCCTATAGGGCCAAAAAGAAAATATAATTGACAAGAAACTCGCATTCTTCTTTAATTGATGTATCAATCATTCAGTTTCCAATATATTGTAATGTCAGGTCATCAACAAGACATATTACTTACCCATCGGCCCAGGGTCTCCTGGTTCACCATACCCAACTTCTCCTCTATCACCTTTTAGACCTCTGTCTCCTGATTCTCCTGGTGGTCCTTGGGGTCCTCTTTCTCCTGATTCTCCTGGTGGTCCTTGGGGTCCTCTTTCTCCCGATTCTCCTGGTGTTCCGGGCTCTCCTTGGACTCCTAGGAACCAGAATGAAAATATAAAAAATATCAAATCGGTGTTTATTTCTGTAGCAATCATTCAATTTTCAATATATTGTATTAAAGACTTATTCTTCTGATTCGCCTGCAGGTCAGAGATAGTCTAAAACTCCTATGGGACCAGAAAGAAAATATTATCAACAAAATACTAGAATCGATCTTTTTTCTGTATCAATCATTCAGTTTCCAATATATTGTAATTTTATGCATCAACAAGACTTATTACTTACCCATCGGTCCAGGGTCTCCAGGTTCACCATACCCATCTTCTCCTCCATCACCTTTTGGACCTCTTTCTCCCGATTCTCCTGGTGGGCCTCTTTCTCCTAAGTTTCCAGGGGGTCCGGGATCTCCGGGGGCTCCTATGGGACCAGCAAGAAAATATAATCATATAATCTATGTGGATTCAGTTATTCAATCATATGTGGTCCCGGTTGACAAGAAGGTAAAGTTTATCCAATTACGAGATAATATCTTAAGTTCTGATAAGGTTGATTTAAAAAGTTTTCAAGGCTCTTCAAGGTTATTTCTATGTCTTTAGCTATCCCGGGATGTAAATTATTTTGTAGAGAGATGAATAGGTCGATTGCTCAATGTATTTAGAATTCAAAGTTGATTGAATTTCATAAACGAGTTGAATTATCGAAGTACAGTGCTGTCGTTGATATGGGTGGAGAAATAGTAGAGATATCTGATTATTGGCGAACTCATTACATTTGTTATTAAAAAATGTGAACGAGTTGAATTGTCGACGGATTCTTCGGGTTACAAGTATAGTGCTGTCGTTGATATGGGTGGAGAAATAGTAGAGTTATCTGATTATTGGCGAACTGGGGATAAAGGCCCATTCATGAGAAAGAGGCAGATGCGGTGCTTAGATGGTTGTGTTCGTTAGGAGTCGATACTCGAGTAGATATTTTTACATTATTTTTCGCAAAGCCTTCGGCTTAGCATTGTTATGTAGCATACTATCCTAGTTATCGCCCTTTACATCGCTCTTCAAAGAAAGGTAAATAAGGTCCCTCTATCACATGACCTAGCAGCATAATATAAACAATACAACTTTACCAATCATTCTTTGTCCTAGTGTATCGCAGAAGAGATCGATAGAATCTCAAATTTTATTTAAGCAGGTAGTGTAAGTTATAATACTGCTTAATCTGCAAGCTTACCAGACTGAACGATAGTTTTTCGATAGTTTTTCAGTCAATGTATTTATTTAAAACAGTCATACGGTGGCTGGTTCAGAAAAAGAGATATACTTTCTTTAAATGACTCTTACTTTGGAGGATGCTATTCCTTCCACTAGTAAGTGTAAAACACCATTCAAATCAAAATTAAGATCTGCAGTTAAGTTACTTAGAGGTAAGCAAAAGGCTTCAAGTACTCGTAAAGCAAGTTCGCCGAGAACTATTAATAACAACTCAAATGTTATCAATAAAACTACTGGCAATACTAATACTATTCAGTCTATTAAATCTAATCTTATTGATTTAGATAATGTGTCAGAGGCAGATCTCTTGACACTAAAATGTAAATTAGGTCTTGTTGAATCGAAGACTAATGAAATAGAATATGATTATGATGAAAGTGATTTGTTCTTTCAAGATTTTACCCAGTTGCCTAATTTAACTGTTCAAGTTGACAATTCACCTGATGTTGTAAGACCTAGTATAAATCCGCTACAAGTTAATAATAGAATTAGTGGAGCATTATTTGATGAGTTCAGTAATAATAATATCAATGCTGAATTAAATAGTAGTAATACTGGTCCAGCAATAGATGATACTTTGTGGACACTACCTAAATTGAAAACTCCTTTACGAGGTGATCCTATATCAAAATCATTAGCTAATGTGATAAATACAGCTTGCACCACTCAATGTGCTACTGATGACATTATTGATCGATATAAAATACCCGAAAATTGTGAAATGTTATCCCGACCGTTAGTTAATCAGGAGATATGGGGTGAAATTGATGTTAAAACTCATACCTATGATAAAAATTTTAAAGGCATTTAAAAATTATTAGCTGCTGGCATTGTTCCGATCATTAAACTGAATGATTTAATAAAGGATCAGATTAGACATAACGATGACGCAAAGAGATTAATTTCTGATTCAATGACATTGATTTTCCAAGCCCAATACAATATTTCCTTAAGACGTAGATATTTGATTCGTCCAATCTTAAAAAGAAGTATTCTAATCTCTGCAATATAAATACTCCAATTACCAGCTATTTATTTGGGGATGATATTTCCAAGGAGATCAAGAAATGTGATGCTGGGTTTTCTTTATCAAATAAAGCTAGTTTTATATCAGTTTGTCTGTCTACCCTTCGGACTATCAAGTGCTCCAAGAGTGTTTACCGAAATTCTAAAGCCTGTATATGCCTGGTTTAGATTTCAAGGTATAAGATGTAACTATTATATTGATGATTCTATTATAATGGATCAAAATCAATCAAAATGTCGTAATGATACACAAGTAATCAAAGATAAATTATTATCATTAGGATATACTGTGAACGAGAAGAAATCAAGTTTCGAACCCTGTCAGACTATAGTATTCTTTGGGTTTATTATCGATTCGGTGAAATTTAAGGTCTATTTGACCCCAGAAAAAGTAAGCAAAATATACAATTCTGCCATATTTATTTTGGAAAACTGTCGAATAATTTCAGTACGAATTCTTGTGTCATTTATAGGTTTACTCATAAATGCCTTTTATGCCATCTTCGAGGCACCATTGCATTATAGAAATTTAGAAAGGGATAAATTGAAAAGTTTAGGCAGTTCCATATATTATGATAACGAATTGTTCTTGTCCGCAGAAGGGATTGTGATTTACATTGGTGGATAAGGAATGTTAATGATAAAAATGGCAAACTAATACGACAAGAAAACCCTTCAGTATTTTACACCAAGGACGCATTCTTGGAAGGTTGGGGTGTGTATCATAATGATGAAAATATTTCATTTGGTGGTAGAAGGTCTGCAGCAGAAAGTCAAAATGACATCAAATTTTTGGAATTACTGGCTATATTTTTTGGGTTGAAGTCCTTATTTTCTGATCAGTTGAGTTTACATATTGAAGTTAGATCTGAAAATGTTTGTGCAGTTTCTTATGTAAATAATATGGGAGAAATAACATCAAAATTACTAGATGATTTGGCCAAAGATATTTGGAATTGGTGTATAGAGAGATCACTATATATATCTGCAGTTTACATCCCAGGCAAAGCTAATAGACTGCCTGACTTTTCATCGAGAAATTTTTCCGATTCCACTGAGTGGATGTTAAATAATAGCATTTTTATTAGGATATGTAATCAATTGTTCTGGCCTAGTATAGATTTGTTTGCGTCTCGTTTGAATTGTCAGTTATCAAAGTTTTGTTCATGGTTTCCTGAACCAGGTTCCTATAAATGTAATGCATTTTCTTTTTCTTGGGTAGAGTTGATTCCGTACATTTTTCCACCATTTTCACTGATAGGTAAAATTTTAAATAAGATTACTTTAGATCAAGTTAGTGAAGCTATTATTATTGTACCATTTTGGCCTTCTCAACCATGGTTTCCCGTACTTTTGGACTGTTTGGCTTCTTTTCCTCTTAGGATACCTCGACAAAAGGACCTATTAATGATGGCCCACGATGGAACATTTCATCCCTTAACCAAATTTTAAACTACTAACTCCCATAGATATCGATAATGACATAACTGACAACTTTCAAACTTCCTTCCACATAATCTCACATAATCCCACGGCAACAGTCGAGTCATATTTTATCAAAATACATTGAGATAGAGTCACAATTCAACATGTTTATCATCCATGCATAACGCTGTAAACAAAATGGCGGATTCACTAACTAAACAAACCTACTTCGAAATGCAGATATAACACACACGCAAGTTTGTAAATCAACCAATTTACCTGAAAATGTGTGTTATTGTTCATTCGATATCAGTAGATTCCGATGATAATACTTGTTGATTTTGTAAATCGAAGATAAACATTACAAAACAATGTTATTTAGTGCACACTCAGTTCAACCTCCATCACCCTTCGTGTCCATTTCACATGTAAAAGTACGCAATTCTCAACATAGACAATTTCTATAATTTTTTTTATATAATATGATGTATGAAACCAAAGAATAGAAATAAAAATCAACAGTAAAGAGGAAACAATTAAGAATCTGTTGATACAAATAAATAAACTATATTCCCAGCGTATGCGTATCTTTAAAGTGATAGATCTATTCCTGCGCTAAAATTTAATCGACCTTCTGGAAGACATTGTAAACGTCGGCCGATCAAATTGAAGATCAAAGTAGATGACATAAGTATACCACAAAGTTTGCTGAACTATTCTGTATCTAAGGGTCCAGGTCTTAATTTGAAATTTCAAAAAACACCAGTGTTTGATGGCTACAGAATAATTGACTTAGACCAACTTCAGAAACATGTGTCTGGGATTACAATGCATACTGCATTATATTCTGAGGTACAAATGTGTGCATTGGTCAACCGTCCGGTTGTTAAATTGGTGGCTGAGAAGCAAAGACTTGGATTGGCTTCAATCATGCAAGCCGAATGTCAGGGGTGTGGTCAGCTGTTTAAACTGTCAACGTCGAAGAAAACAACATCATCGTCGGGTCTGAAAAGATACGACATAAACTTGACAGCTGTTTGGGGAAGCATGGTGACCGGAAGTGGACTTAGTCATTTATCTGAATGCCTTGGAACAATGGGAGTTCCATCAATATCACAGCCTACATTCACTGCCATTGAAGAGGAAATTGGCAACTGGTGGATAGGTGAAGAAAGGAATGACTATCATCAAGGTGTTCCATAAGCATTCCTATAATGCTCTTGGAGGTGTTGGCATCATAATTGGACAAGTGACCCGAAAGCTGCTCCATATTGGCATCCGGAACAAATACTGCTACGCCTGTTCCTTGGCAGAGAGTCGACAAAAAGATCCTGAGTGCTTTAAGAATTGGGATGAGTCGAGTCAAGCTATGGAGGCAGATGTCATTGTGGAAGGCTTTATGAATGCTGAGAAAGATCACGGTGTTCGGTACATGCGCCTTGTTGCAGATGGTGATAGTTCTGTGTATGCCAGAATACAGGAAACAGTACCAATTTGGGGTCCTCATGTAACTAAGCTGGAATGTGCAAATCATGCATGCAAATGCCTTAGAAGCAGTTTGGAAAAAATGGTTGACAGACTACCAAAACTAAGGGGAAGAGGAAAGTTGACCTTGGCAACTAGAATAAGAATTGTGTCTGCTGTTCGATGTGCTATTCGCATGAGGTCTTCTGAAGAAAACAGATCCTTGGCTTGTAAGAAATCAGTTCATGACATTAAGAACTGCATTTATCATGTTTTTGGCGACCATACCAGGTGTTCTGAATTCTGCAAGAAGTCCTCAGGTGAAATTCCAAGTAAAGAAAGCAATCCTACCTCAACCTGTGAAGATGAACAATCTGAATCTGTTATATCAGTTGTGAGAGACCAGCAAGACTTTTGGACTGATGGTTCTTCTTTGAAAGATCAGGAAGATTCCAGATTAGCGGTACCAGGAAGAGGATTGTCTGCAGCTGACAATGAAATCATAAACGAAGTTTGTCCACTATTGAACCGCATTGCATCCAAAGCTGAAAGATTACTTGGTAATTTCACCACAAATCTAGCTGAGGCCTGGATGAATATTCGTGCCAAGTTTGATGGTGGAAAATTTTTCAATAGATGCTCGAGAGGGTCTTGGCATTGCAGATGCTATGGTGGCGCTCTTCGTCAAAATCAAGTGGTCACTTATGGTTTGGACAAAGGTGACGCACACAGAACCAACCAGTTCCTTTCGATGTTTGTTTGACAACAGAGAGAAGCGTCTTCAACTTCAGCGCTCGCTTAGTGCTCGACCTGTGCAGAAAACAAAACGCTGGAAAAGACGGATGATTGGCAGAAAACAAAGCGATTCCACAAAAGCTAGACAGGAATAAGGTACAGATGCCATCGAGGTTGTTGCTGATCACTCTTCTCACCAGCTTTCAATTTTGAAAGCGAAATTTGACAAAGATTTCGTACCGCTGTCCAAAGAGCGGGTGAAAGAAATTTGTGAAGCAACAATCTCCCAGTCTGATTCAGACATAGGGCATGATGAAAGACGAACAAGACTCACTTCATCTAACTTTGGAGACATAATGGCACGGAATCCGAAAATCACAGTTACACCATTCATCAAGAGGTTACTATATTCCACTTTCAAAGGAAACAGGTTTACGAAGATTGGATTAGCTGCAGAGAAAGCAACATATTCTGAGTATTGTGCAAAGAAAGCTACAGATGGTGGCCCTGTTACAGTAGAGCATACGCTTACAGATTCTTCACAGTCATCCATTTCTTGCTGCAAGCACAGACGGAATTGTGTCATCATTGGCATCTGGTGAGAAGGGTTTACTTAAGGTCAATAATGTTCTCATGAACAAACAGTTGACATTCTTGGAGGCAGCAAAATCTGTGTCTAATTTCTGCTTAATGCAGTCAAGTGGAAATCAACTGGTTCATAAATTCTTTTACCAAGTTCAAGGTCAGCTGAATGTTTTTGACATGAAGTGGTTGGGTTTTGTAGTAAGATCTATTTCTCCACACCAGCTCCATATTGAAAGAATAGTTGTTGACAAGAACTTGTGGGTGACTAAGATGTTACCAAAGCTGACAGCATTCTACTACACTTGTCTACTGCCAGAATTGTGTGCACCAAAATATGGGAAAAGTTCAGGCATCAGAGAACCTGGTGTCTGGGTAAGTAATATATATATATTTTTCAACTGTTAACAAATGAATTAAACTTCATTGTTGTTTTTTTTTTGGAATATATGAAATGACCAGGTAAGTCTTATTGATAATTTATGTTAGGCTGATTCTTATTTTCTAAAATTATTTAACAGTATTTACAGGATACCAAACCAAAACAAGAGTCTTTTAAGCCTAATTGTAGTGGCACCAAACCCCAAACTACCACCAGATCTACCAACAGGGCTGCAAGGCAACGTTTTGTGGGTCGGGAAATTTCCCACAAGTGGATAGTTGATGAGTCATCAGGTAAATTAAGCAGTTCATATTTTTTCTTTGCTACAAGTAGTGTCTATTATATATATGGCATAAAAGTTAATTTCTACATTCCATAAAATATATATTATATTTTATCTGGTTAAACAAAACAAAAACTGACTGAATGATTGAGTAGCTCTTTTTATTTTTATATTATTTTTAGACAACTGTAAATGGTACCGTGGCAGTGTTTTAGATGTTACCTCTGGTCTTGATGGTAACCCTGATGCTGTTTATGACATTTATTACCATTCAGAAGATGAAACATATTCCATCAACCATCTAGTGCAGGATTTCGGTCAAATTTATTGATGCATAATATGCATGTGTGAGTAGACACATTACTCCTTTTGGAGAAACTTTAGATGTGCTGTGTGGTTCATACATTTGTTTAATTGACACATTACTCCTTTTGGAGAAACTTTAGATGTGCTGTGTGACATACATTTGTTTAATTGACACATTACTCCTTTTGGAGAAACTTTAGATGTGCTGTGTGGTTCACACATTTGTTAAATTCACACATTACTCCTTTTGGAGAAACTTTAGATGTGCTGTGTGGTTCATACATTTGTTTAATTGACACATTACTCCTTTTGGAGAAACTTTAGATGTGCTGTGTCTTCATTGTAAAAGGTCGATCATTCGGACCATTGGCTTGCGATTCAAAATTCAAAATTCGATTCTTGAAAGAGGTGGATTCCACGTGGCAAGGATCGGGCAGTATTGTCGACTAAATCAATACTGGCAGGCAACCTCAGTGACCTTAATTTGAACCCACTAGGATTTTTAATTTGCCCAACCCCTTCCTTTCAAATTAATTTCAATTTTTTTGTTTTAAGAATGAAACTAAATAGAAAGTGTAAATATGTTACAATAATAACTTCAATTCAATTGATAAAAATAATCGCTTAAATTTACATTTAAAAGTTAATTGCAGGTATAGGCCTCCATACTCATTCTTAAAAAAGTAGTCCAAAAACAAAATGGCTTATTTGTTTACAAATTGAGTATATTTTCTGTAAGGATTTGTGTTAAATTGGATTTTCTTGTTTTATTGGAGAAACGGGGAAGGGAGGGTTTGATTCTCCCAAATGTACAGGCCTAGGGTGGAGCAGACACTTTATTTAGAAATTAGGATTAAGGGTCTTGATATTGGGTTTTCTTCTGTTCTTATTCTGATCTGAAATTAGAAAAAATAACTAAGTATAGTATCTATTATGTGCTGATTGTTTTTAGTTTACTATGAACAATATTATCATTTAAGTTCTTATTTTTTGAATATGCAACTCTATCATTTTCTGCTTATAGACATGGGGGAATTTCTCTTGAAGGCTCTTATAGTGGGCATGAACTATCTTGCTTGCTCGATTGCTGGTTGTATTAAACGGGACATCAAAGGGTGCTATGCCTACATTATGATGAATATTTAGTCCTATAGGTCTTGCTGTATTCAATGTCTCAATCCAATGGGCTTCCCTAGATTGACGGAATTTGGTAGTTTCATCTTCGGGCAAGTCAATTTCTATACGCTCAATTGGGATTAGGGCGAGATCGTCTATTGAATGGTCGTCGAGGTTGAAATGATTAGAAACAGGCTTGTCTTTCTTTAATTTGATGTCTGACCTATGAGCATTAAAGCGAGTTCGTAAATTATTCTTAGTTTCTCCTACATATTGTTTGGGGCATTTCTTGCATGAAATTAGATATATTACATTCGAATGTTCACATGTTAGATGTTCCTGGATCGGGTACCTTTTATTCGTAGAGTTGCTTACAAAATAATGAGTTTCTGATATAAATGGACATGTTTTGCATCTACTGGACAAACATGGAGCACTTCTTAAACCTGGAGGTACTTCGGCATTTAGTCTGTTTTTAGCTGCTATCTGTGCTAAGGTGGAATTTTTTATGTTTCGTAAAAATCGTTTAGAGTACCCACGCTCTTTCAGTTTTGAGAAAACAATCGTACAGGCTTGGTTGAAATCAGAAGATCTTGTACAAATTCGATGAAATCGTAAAACTTGTGACTTAATTATACCAGAAAAGGTTTGTTTTGGGTGAAAGGAGCTCTTGTGCAAGAGTTGATGAGAATCAGTTTCTTTGAAATACACTTTAATATCCAGTTTATTTGTTTCTGCTATGGAATCTCCCTTAAAGACTGTGGTATCGAGAAAGTCTATGCATTTGTCACTCACGTTTGAGGTTAGGTTGATAGAAGGATGGTGGTTGTTGAGAATTTCAAAGAATTCCCAAAACTGTTCGATAGAATAAGTCCAAACCATAAAAATGTCATCCAAAAAGCGTCCGTAAAAAAGTGGGTCAAATGGACAGAGGGGCAACACCTCACGTTCCCACTCTGCCATGAAAAGGTTTGCGTACGAAGGGGCGAATCGTTTGCCCATTGCTGTCCCTGAAGTTTGTAAATATGTTTTACCATTAAATGTGAAATCGTTTCGACTAAGACAAATCTCTAAAAGCTGTAGAATTGCATCGTCGGGTCTGTTTGGATCTGGGTTTCTATTAAAAGCTTTACGAACTGCCGTTAAACCAGTAGTGTTATCGATATTGGTATACATAGAAGAAACGTCGATAGAAATTAAAATAGCATTAGAGGGAACTCGAAGATTTTTTATTTTATTGACAAAATCGGTTGTGTCTTTAAGGTAGGCGCGATGTTGACATGCTAGAGGCAGTAAGAAATGATCAATGTATTCTGACACTGCATATGACTCACTACCACAGTCAGATATAATCGGGCGGCCTTTAGGGATTTTATTCGAGATAAACCACTCCTTGGTTGGATTCTTATGGATTTTAGGCAAAGTGTACAAATGTCTCTCGCGACAATCAGGTTTGGCGGACAGATAGTCATATTGTTTCTGTTTGAGATAACTAGTTTTGACCAAATCGGCAAGAATATTGTTAATCATGTTAGCAGTTTCTTTGAAAATTGGTTTCGGTAAAATGACATAATGTTTAGGATTATTCAGTTGATTCTCTGCTTCTGAAACGTAATCCTCCCTATTCAGAATGACACAACATGAACCTTTGTCACTTTTTTTAATAATACTGTTGATACTGGACTCCATCATCATGTTGTTGAGAGTGCTGAGGTTCTGTTGTGCTTTCTTCGAGATTTTATTTGAAATGGGTATACATGTGAAGAGGATCTTGGAGTTTGGGAAGGTTTTGTTGACTGTGGCGATTAATTTCTGGGCTTGGTTAAAGGAGGTCTTTGGTAGCTGATCACGGTTGTTGAGGCCTACATGAAGAATAATGGTAATAGGTTTGGGATCATGGTCGTATGATTCCAGGATTGACTGTATGTGATGGATTTGGGCACCGGGGTAAGAATGTATTTCAGTGTCTGAACTGGTTTTGGTAATTCGATTCAGGTTAGATGATCCAATAATTAAGGTAGATTTCTTTAGAGCGGGTAGCTTCCATAATGATTTGTCCTTGGTTTGGTGATAATACGGTTTGGTAGCGGATATAATGGTCGTCGACGGTGTGATTGGTACTGGTTTGGTAGTTGTTAGAATTGTAGCATTGGGAACGGACTGGGATCTGGTTCGGGAGGTCTGGATATACGTCTCGACTTCGATGGAGACTGAGGGGTGGTTTGCTGGTCCAAAAACGCACAGAAGGAAGAAAGGTTGGCGGATCCTGGATCACGTGGTGAAGATTCAGATGGTGTGGAAGGGGAAGACGAGTTTGAAAGTGAAAAGAGAAGGGGAGTGCCCTCTCTACGAGAGTCTGCTGGACTAGGAGTAGGTGAACTTCGGGCTCGTTTAGGGGTTTGGTTCGGCAGCGTCGTGGCTCTAGATGGTGCAGGTGTAGTGTCCATTTCAGTTGGTAGAGATATGGTTACTCTGGTTTTTGTTTCGTTGATTGTTTGGTAGAACTTGGTGATTACAGCTTGAGTGAGACGTTTCCCAAAGGAGCGACGGGCCCAGGACAGGGCATGAGAAACGATGCGGTCGACGGCAGCTGATGATAAAGACTTAGTACGAATGGTGGTCAGCTTCTCTTGAAGTGTGGTTTGGTAATGGTCGATCAGGACCTGCGTAACCTTAGAGAGCCATGTCCGATTGAGGGATCTAATATTCGCGTCAACAGCTGATGTTTTCATTGCTGGGCGGATAAAACTATCCAACTCAGAGACTCTGCGTTTGAAGGTAAACGCTGGTTGGCCTTGCTGTTGAAGGGTAAGGATTGCCAAATGATGGAGGCACTGCAAAACTTGGAAGAACACCTTCACAAAGGGTTCTTCCTCCTTATGAGTGGGGACTGGTTGGCGTCGGTGGGCTGGTAGTCGTTTCTGTTTTTGGTCAGGTCGATGGTTAGCTCTTGATTGGTAGGTGTTGTAGGTAGGTCGGCGATGGGGTGGGATATAGCTGGATGGGTTGGTTGGTGGTCGGCGAATGGTAGGTGGTAGAGGTCGATGGAAGACAGGGCCGTTGTAGGGTACGTGATATTGGTTTGGTTGACGATTAGTGTTTCTATGTCTGGCTTCTTGCCAGTGGTTGTTGTAGTTGGGGAGCATAATGAAAATAACTTGAGGTTAGAAAGGGAATGTACAGCGGATGTAACAGGAGGAAACTGTATATGCTAGCGTGAAAATGTGGGGTTCAAATTATGCAAATAAGTCAAACTGGGTTTGGGGATATATAAAGTAAGATGAAAGTTATGATGAAAAATGCAAAAATATATATTTAGGTGATAAATAACTCTAACAATGATGTGTTATACCTCTTGTATCTCGTTTGCATGTCTAGGGAACTTTTTAGAATGTGTCTTGGGTTTGACAAATTACAAGGTTTACCTTGCCCTTTATTGCTCAAGTTGTATTGGTTATATTATGCTGCTGGGTCATGTGATAGAGGGACCTTATTTACCTTTGTTTGAAGAGCGATGTAAAGGGCGATAACTAGGATAGTATGCTACATAACAATGCTAAGCCTCCGGCTTTACTTCAATAATGTCTCCCATCCTTCACATTAAATGCTTTGATGAGGGGTCATTTTTTTATATTGTTGTGTGGGACATGCAAGGTAGTAGAAGATCGGGTTTTAATACAGTAATTAAAAATATCTTCAGTTTGTCAAGTTATATAATGTTGATCTGCATATGAGCTTTGTTCTTTCTGGTCTGAATTCTGCTGAACTGTCGTTAAGAAAACTAAGTACGCAAATTTGGCGAAATGTATAGGAAAGATACGGTCCGCACACTGTTGATCTTATGGCCTTGGATTCCAACTCATTGAGATCCGAGGATGACTTGCTTCGTGATGGCCTTAATGTCCTTTGCCAAGATCTCAGTAAAGAGTGTAATATGTATTTTTTTCCACCTTACAGCATGATTTATCCACTTTTGTGTCTGTTGAAAGGAACAAGAGGTTGAATATACCATCGCAATTCCTGCTATATCGCCGTTGCTAGTTTGGTGGCCAATGTTGACATCGGCCATGATTGATTGATTTACATTGGGGGTCAGGTTCGTGAAACTATTAGGAAGGCTTTGTACTTGATAATGACGGGTTAAGGTGGCCGCTTCAGGTTTGTCGCATTTCATTCAAATGAAATAACGTCATTATTTGTGTTGCAGGATAACATTATAATGGTATCAATCTCGATTTCATCAATAAGAGGCTGCAAGAGTTAGACAAATGGACGTCTTCTTCAGGAATCAAGAGATCTGAGAGTTTAAAGAAGACATTTTTTGATTTTCTGAGTAAATTACCTCGTAACGTAAATTTGAGTATCTGTAAGATGATATTCGTAGGTTTTTGGTATGGTAAGATATTTAAAGGTAAGACTATCGTTCATAGGTTAGAGTGGGAAAACCTTGATTTGAAAGGAAACTTAACATGTTCATGTCCAAAACGTTTAGCCCTGTGGAGAATATTGTCAATTCACTAGTAAACCTCTTTGATAAACATGGGTTTGGAAGTCTTGGGACATCATTACTGCTCCTGGTAACCCGGTCTGTGCTAGTGTAGTTAGGAAATATGTGAAGTTGGTTAAAGAGGTGCAGCTAGAGCACATATTCTTCCAAAACAGGCCAAGCCTATTTTCTCTAAATTAAGGTTATTTCGCTATTGATCGCAAGGGAATTGACGAGATCGGTCTTTAAAACAGCTTTATGTTCTTGCTAGAGATCAAGCTTGGATAAAATTGCAGTTTTTTGCTAAGGATCGAGCGTGTGATTTGTCTCTTGTCGTTGCACAAAAGATAAAGGTTTTGAAAGACAATTCGGGTCTAGTTTTTCAGCACACATTTGGCAAGACCTTAAGAGGTGAAAGGGAAAGTCTAACACATTTGTTATTAAAAAATGTGAAGATGACGTTATTTGTCCGATAAGGGGTTTAGGACATTTCTTAAATGCTGCAAAAAGGTATTCTATTAGCAGATGATGAATCATACTGGGTGGTTTGGACCTTCTAGTGTTAAGTATTATAGTAGACTTAATACATTGATTCGAGCACAAGTTGCGTCCAAATAAGCAGACTCGGCTAGTCGGTCCGAAGGTATTTGAAAACTAATATTTGAATAATGCCGATCTTTTAGACTTGATAAGGGCGTTTGATTATGAGTAATTGTAGGTTTTTTGTCTGAATGTGAATGACAATAAATGTATTTTGAACATTGTTTATGATTTGACACCCTCCCATCCTCCTAGTGGAATACAACGTGCAAATATTCTCTTGGATTAAGTCACTCATTGCAGGGTTGCCGCTCATAACTTAATCGACTGTATGCTGGAGATTATAAACTCATTGAGGATTGGTGTAGAGCCTCAGTGTGATTATTGCGGAAGTCAGGTGTCTTATCGGCATTATTTCAATATATAGCGTTGAGGCTTGGGTGCTGAATTGTTACTTAATAGACAAACCTATCCCTACAATCTGCGGCCTAAATCTCCTGTTCATGTAAACACCCTCCCACTCTCCCACCTTCCTAGTGGAATACGATATTACGTGCAAATATTCTTTTGAATTCAGTCACTAATTGCAGTGTAATCCACAAGACTTATTACTTACCAATCGGTCCAGGGTCTCCAGGTTCACCATACCCATCTTCTCCTCTATCACCTTTTAGACCTCTTTCTCCTGATTCTCCTGGTGGTCCTTGGGGTCCTCTTTTTCCCGATTCTCCTGGTGGTCCAGGATATCCTGGGACTCCTATGGGACCAAAAAGAAAATAATATCACAAATTACTATAATTGGTCTTCATTTATGTATCAACCATTCAGTTTCAGTAATCAAAACTTATTACTTACCCATAGGTCCAGTGTCTCCTGGTTCACCATACCCAACTTCTCCTCTATCACCTGTTAGACCTCTTTCTCCTGATTCTCCTGGTGGCCCGGGATCTCCTGGTTTTCCTATAGGGCCAAAAATAAAATATAATCGACCAGAAACTCGAATTCTTCTTTAATTGATGTATCAATCATTCAGTTTCCAATATATTGTAATCTTAGATTATCAACAAGACTTACTACTTACCCATCGGTCCAGTGTCTCCTGGTTCACCATACCCAACTTCTCCCCTTTCACCTTTTGGTCCTCTTTCTCCCATTTCGCCTATTGGTCCAGGGTCTCCTTGGACTCCTATGGGACCAGAAAGAAAATATTATCAAAAAGTTACTCGAATAAGTCTTTATTTCTTTATCAATCAATTCTTCTTTAATTGATATATCAATCACTCGGTTTCCAATATATTGTAATCTTAGGCCATCAACAAAACTTATTACTTACCCATCGGTCCAGTGTCTCCTGGTTCACCATACCCAACTTCTCCTCTATCACCTTTTAGGCCTCTTTCTCCTGATTCTCCAGGTGTTCCGGGCTCTCCTTGGACTCCTAGGAACCAGAAAGGAAATGTGAATAAAAAATCGAATCGGAGTTTATTTCTGTAGCAATCATTCAGTTTTCAATATATTGTATTAAAGGATTATTTCTTCTGATTCGCCTACAGGTCTGAGGATAGTCTAAAACTCCTATGGGACCAGAAAGAATATACTAGAATCGATCTTTTTTCTGTATCAATCATTCAATTTCCAATATATTGTAATTTTATGCATCAACAAGACTTATTACTTACCCATCGGTCCAGGGTCTCCAGGTTCACCATACCCAACTTCTCCTCTATCACCTTTTAGACCTTTTTCTCCTGATTCTCCTGGTGGGCCTTGTGGACCTCTTTCTCCTGTTTTTCCAGGTAGTCCGATATCTCCTGGTTTTCCTATAGGGCCAAAAAGAAAATATAATCGACAAGAAACTCGAATTCTTCTTTAATTGATATATCAATCACTCGGTTTCCAAAATATTGTAATCTTAGGTCATCAACAAGACTTATTACTTACCCATCGGTCCAGGGTCTCCTGGTTCACCATACCCAACTTCACCTTTTGGACCTCTTTCTCCCATTTCGCCTATTGGTCCAGGGTCTCCTTGGACTCCTATGGGACCAGAAAGAAAATATTATCAAAAAGTTACTCGAATAAGCCTTTATTTCTCTATCAATCATTCAGTTTCCATTATATTGTAATCTTAGGCCATCAACAAAACGTATTACTTACCCATCGGTCCAGTGTCTCCTGGTTCACCATACCCAACTCCTCCTCTATCACCTTTTAGACCTCTGTCTCCTGATTCTCCTAGTGGTCCTTGGGGTCCTCTTTCTCCTGATTCTCCTGGTGTTCCGGGCTCTCCTTGGACTCCTAGGAACCAGAAAGAAAATATAAAAAAAATTCAAATCGGTGTTTATTTCTGTAGCAATCATTCAGTTTTCAATATATTGTATTAATGACTTATTTCTTCTGATTCGCCTACAGGTCAGAGATAGTCTAAGACTCCTATGGGACCAGAAATAAAATTTTATCAACAAAATACTGGAATCGATCTTTTTTTCTGTATCAATCATTCAATTTCCAATATATTGTAATTTTATGCATCAACAAGACTTATTACTTACCCATCGGTCCAGGGTCTCCAGGTTCACCATACCCAACTTCTCCTTTATCACCTTTTAGACCTTTTTCTCCTGATTCTCCTGGTGGGCCTTGCGCACCTCTTTCTCCTGTTTTTCCAGGTAGTCCGATATCTCCTGGTTTTCCTATAGGGCCAAAAAGAAAATATATTCGACAAGAAACTCGAATTCTTCTTTAATTGATGTATCAATCATTCAGTTTCCAATATATTGTAATGTCAGGTCATCAACAAGACTTATTACTTACCCATCGGTCCAGGGTCTCCTGGTTCACCATACCCAACTTCACCTTTTGGACCTCTCGCTCCCATTTCGCCTATTGGTCCAGGGTCTCCTTGGACTCCTATGGGACCAGACAGAAAATATTATCAACAAGTTACTCTAATAAGTCTTTCTTTCTGTATCAATCATTCAGTTTCCATTATATTGTAATCTTAGGTCATCAACAAGACTTATTACTTACCCATCGGTCCAGGATCTCCTGGTTCACCATACCCAACTTCACCTTTTGGACCTTTTAGACCTATTTCTCCTGATTCTCCTGGTGGTCCTTTGGGTCCTCTCTCTCCTGATTCTCCTGGTGTTCCGGGCTCTCCTTGGACTCCTGGGAACCAGAAAGAAAATATTAAAAAAAATCGAATCGGTGTTTATTTCTATAGCAATTATTCCGTTTTCAATATATTGTATTAAAGACTTATTTTTTCTGATTCTTCTACAGGTCAGAGATAGTCTAAGACTTGTTTGAGACCAGAATATTATTAACAAAATGAAGCATTTAGGATTAACTTTTCAAACTAATTGTAAATGGGATTGTCATATTAATCAGATTTTACTGAAAACTGGTAGGCTTATTAACTGTCTTAAAAGTCTGAAATATCGTCTAAGTAGGAAATCTCTTCAAACTATATACACCTCTTTTATCTTACCTCATTTTGATTATTGTGATATTATATGGGACGAAAGCACTAAAGAACTAACGACTGAATTAGAGAACCTCCAGTTACAGGCACTCAGAACTATATGCGGTGCTGTCAATGGAACAAGCCACACCTTAATCTACCAAGAAACAGGGTTTATCACACTACAGGAGAGACGTCGGCGACCCAAACTTATAATGTTATATAAAATGATACGCAATATTACACCCAATCTGATTTATTTTACAACTCTTTTTTACAATTCATGAGTGGAACCACCTCCCAGATTTCCAAAAACTTTCACCTTCAATTTCATCTTTTAAAAACTCTCTAAAAAAATCAGATACAAACCCACCTATATTTTACCAATTCGGAAATCGAAAAAACCAAATAATCCACTGTCGTCTGCGTCTCTCTTGTAGTGATCTCAATGGTCACAAATTTTTAAGACATATATCTGATTCACCAGCCTGCGCTTGTGGTCATCCATTTTAAGATACAGGTCACTTTTTACTCAACTGCCCCTTACATCTAGATGCACGAAACCGAACTCTATCCCTTTTACCTTTTTATTACCACAATGCACAAAATCTATTGTATGGAACAGACACCAACCTGACCTCTTTTGTTATGTTGAAAATTCATGATTTTATTGCCTTTTCCAAACGATTTTAAACCTTTGTGTTCCCTATTATCATTTCAAATTAAGTAGCAATGCATGTCAATATGTTTATAACAATCAAATTTTTTAAAATGTAAAAATGTTTATGGGAGAGGAGTGATATAGGCGAAAGCCTGTTCCCCAATCCTTTTCTTTTTAAATAA